CCCCCCCCCCCCCCCCCCCCCCCCATGTCTTGGCTGCAGAAATAAACAAAACATGGGGGTAAAATGATAATTTTATTTGTATTGAGTACAAACTGTATGGCTTCCTGCTTTTTCACAATAAAAACCTTTCCACCCAAGACCTCTTCATCATCATCATCATCATCATCTTCCTCACACAGATATTTACAGACATTTACATGCTAATAACAAACTGTACATTCAGTTGACAAACTTTGAGCTTCGTCGTTTGGGACTCTTTATTCAGAAAAAATAAAGCTCCACCAGTCAGAGCTGTTAGGATCAGATGACCAGCAGAGTGTAAGCCCCACCCACTTTATAAAAACATAAGCATTAGAAAAAGCACCAAAACCTGTCATCATCATCATCATCATCATCATCTTCACATGCATGCAGAAGTTACTGGGACCAAAGAACTACAGCTACAGGTCAAACACTGGCTCAGAACACACACAGCAAAAACATGGAGCAGAAATATAAAGAGAAGAAGAAAAAGTATTTAGAAAAAACCAGGTTGAGTTCTCTAGGGTTAGGGTTCTAAAGTAAACTATTATCAGAGTCTGTCTGCTGGGCCCGGTCCAGTCTGCCATTTACACCAGCAGGTACTAAACCACAGGGACCACTGCTGGTTGGACAGAAAACACAGGTGGTACTGTCACATGAATCAGTTACCTGAGAATTTCCACCTTTTCAGGATGAACTAGTTGAATTAGTTAAACCTGATCAATCAGAAACATCAGTCAGACCAGTTTACCCACCTGAAACCACTTTAACCATCAACAGACCAGGATAACTAACTGAACAAGTCTACACATCAGGCTGACCACTTTTACTTGTTAAAGTTTAACCCATTTAACTAGTTAACCCATTTATACCAGGTATATCACTTCAAACTGTTAAACCAGTAACATGTAAAATGGTTCATCATTTCACAACTAACCAGTTTAGTTACCTTTAAACTAGTCCAATGTTACAATGGTCAAACCAGCTGAACTAGATAGGCCAGAGAGACTAGTTGGTTTAGCTAACTAAAACAGACTCATTAAATTGGGTAAACCAGTTACAACAAAAAATAAAACAGGTTAACCAATTAAACCAACTCTGCACCAGTAAACCAGTCATAATTAACCAAACAATAAATTACCACTTTAACTAGTTATGGTTATCCAGTTACAGCAGTTAAGAGTACACAAAGGGTTAAACCAGTACAATCAGTTAAACCAGTTAAACAGGTTAAATAATTTAAATCAYTACAAGATGTTAAACTCATTTAATAGGTTAAATAACTTAACCCATAAAAATAAGTTAAGTTAAACAGGTTGAATAAGTTAAACAAGTTAAATTAGTTAAATAAGTTACGGTTAAATAAGTTAAACCAGTTAAACCAGTTAAACAGGTACATTAGCTTCTTTCAGTGATGGAAAACATGATCCTTTAAACCTCGTGCTAAAGGAAACACAGGTGAGTTCACCTGAACACCTACAATGCTTTTTAATTAATTATTTTATTTCCCATCATGCATTGGGACACAGTCAGCCTATAGAACAACTAATGTCACTGACAGGACAAAGGCACAGCTGGGGTTAAATAAGTATTCTATACAAATAATAACTTAAAAACATATTGATTTCTGATTGTTTTATCGTCAAAAAGCTTCTTTCATCAGCAGCTTGACATTTGTGCTTCACAACATGTTCTGTGGAAGACCACTTCCTGTTTCAGAAACACTCAGACATCTACTTCCTGTTTCAGAAACCCTCAGCAGATGTCTACTTCCTGTTTCAGAAACACTCAGCAGATGTCTACTTCCTGTTTCAGAAACCCTCAGCAGACGTCTACTTCCTGTTTCAGAAACACTCAGCNAACACTCAGCAGACGTCTACTTCCTGTTTCAGAAACCCTCAGCAGACGTCTACTTCCTGTTTCAGAAACACTCAGCAGACGTCTACTTCCTGTTTTAGAAACCCTCAGTAGACATCCACTTCCTGTTTCAGAAACCCTCAGAGGTCAGAGGAGCCATCAGAGGAGGATCTCCTGAACAGAGCTGTAAATCAGGACAAAGAGGAGCTGGTGGGCGGAGTCTCTGAGGGATTTCTGTTAGAAACCATGTCAGTCATCACCTGTACCTGCTCAGTCCAGATGTGAAGGTGCAGGGAACCTGTGGTACCTGTCCACAGCTGTCTTTGACTGAGGGGGGGTGGTGCTACACTCTGGACATGTTGTCAGTTCATAAAACCTTTTTCTGAACCCTTCAGAATCCAGAGGAAACTGAGGACCATGGATGAATGTTAATAATGATTCAGTCTAAGAGTCGACGCTGATCAAAGCTAACGTTATGAAGCAAACCCACAGAGGGATGAACAGGTCTGGAGGGGGTCCCAGTCTGCACAGGTCAGAATGTAACAAAACAAAGTGACCAAGTGTTTCAGCAGAGTGAACAGATCCTGACTACAAATGAACTGATTCAAATCAGTGACGTCATCAAAAACTGAACCTGTGGAGCAGCAGACCGGACTAACAGTCTCTGGCTTTAAGAAGGAGTCAGACCGTGTTCCAAGGCAGGTCCATAAGTACAGCTGGTGTCAGTGATGTGGTCAGACTCCTCTGTGGTGGGACACCAGGACTGGGTGAGGTGGACCCTGAGATGCTGAAGGCTCTGAATGTTCAGGAGCTGTCTGTTCAGTCAAATATAGCTTCTGAAACAACTCCAATAATCTTAATAGTTTTCAGAAAAAGCATTGTTCATCATGATTAGCAGGCTAAAGTTAGCTGTTAGCTCAATGACTGATGGTGATGGTGGGATTAAACCAACTTAAAACAAAACAGACAGCTGACATAAACAGTAAAGAAGTAAATCCAAAACTCACCCCTGAACTAGTGTTTCTACTGGTCTTTTTACTGGTGTCACCACGGTTTGACCAACTCACGCTGCAGCCACAGTGCAGAGGAGCCAGAGGAAGTGAGGTCACACTAGACATGACCCGCAACAATAAAGTGTCTTTACAGAACTCAGGTTACTCTGAGGTCAAACCTTTCATCTTCTTCTCCAAAGGACTGAGATGGTTCAGGGTCCGAATGAGTCCAGGAGGGGTAGGGTTAGCTTCTGGACCTTCTGGAGGAAGTCTGCATCTTCTCTGCTCCTGGAACATGTTGGGATTCCTCAGGAGGAGGAGGAGGAGGAGCAGGAGGAGGAGCAGGAGCAGGAGGAGGAGGAGGAGGAGGACGAGGAAGAGGAGGAGGAGGAGGAGGAGGAGGACTGCTGGAACCCTCATTAAACTTTTACCTTTATGAGCCAAAAACTAGAAAAAAAGTGTTTGAATAAATGTCTGTCTTCATCCATCCATCCATCATCCATCCATCCATCCATCCATTCATCCATCCATCCATCCATCCATCCATCATCCATCCATCCATCCATCCATCCATCCATCCATCCATCATCCATCCATCCATCCATCCATCATCCATCTATCCATCCATCCATCCATCCATCCATCATCCATCTATCCATCCATCCATCATCCATCTATCCATCCATCCATCCATCCATCCATCCATCCATCCATCCATCCATCCATCCATCCATCCTCCACACATACTGTAGATGGAAGCCTGAAACATCTTGCTGAGTGTATAAAGCACCTTGAGGGTGGAGCTGGTTCTCATGTATCTTCAGGGTGAAGAGTGGACAGAAGGGTAGAAATGAAAGAGTTGCCCCAGCACAGGGCTAACTGCTGTTATTGCCTTCAGGAAATCTTTAGAAGAGGATTCCCAGCATGTTTAAGGTTCAAGCTGCTGGCTTTAGTAGAAAAGACAAAAATATAGAAACAGCAGGTCTAATATCTAAAATCAACAAGTTCAACTTTGTGCTTTTTGACTCATGACAGCAGAGCATTTTGGGAAAAGTAGTGCAAGGCAGCAGGTGTTGGTGATATTCCCTGATCAGATCTGATTGAACTGTCATTGTTCACCACAGGCTGGTGTCAGGCAGGTTGGGTTTGTTTCTGGTTGGTTTAAAACCAGTTTGCTGTTGCTGTGTGAAGGAAGAGGAAGACAATAAAACATGTTTCAACCAACACAACCCGTCACTTTCAGCACAGCTGCCCACTCAGGTGGACTGCTTCTCCATCCTCCTGCTCTCAAAGGTCAGTGACTTTGTTCTCCACCAGGGCAGCCACCTGCTGGAGTCGATAGGCCAACTGCATCTTCTGACCCGAGGTGTCCTCCTCCAGAGACATGACCACCTGAACAGAGACGGACACAGACAGGTGTGTGATGAGTGGAAACACACAGCTGGAGACCAACAAGTGACCACTGTAGGTGTTGACTTACCTGGTCGTAATATTTCTGGATGTACTTGTAAAGTTCATGAAGACCAACAAGACTGTTCATGTCTGAGGCAAAACTCTGCAGTGAGACAGGTACAGTGAGACAGGTACAGTGGGACAGGTACAGTGAGACAGGTACAGTGGGACAGGTACAGTGGGACAGGTACAGTGAGACAGGTACAGTGGGACAGGTACAGTGGGACAGGTACAGTGGGACAGGTACAGTGAGACAGGTATAGTGAGACAGGTACAGTGGGACAGGTATAGTGAGACAGGTATAGTGAGACAGGTACAGTGGGACAGGTACAGTGGGACAGGTACAGTGGGACAGGTACAGTGAGACAGGTATAGTGAGACAGGTACAGTGAGACAGGTACAGTGAGACAGGTACAGTGAGACAGGTACAGTGAGACAGGTACAGTGGGACAGGTACAGTGAGACAGGTATAGTGAGACAGGTACAGTGGGACAGGTATAGTGAGACAGGTATAGTAAGACAGGTACAGTGGGACAGGTACAGTGGGACAGGTACAGTGGGACAGGTACAGTGAGACAGGTACAGTGAGACAGGTACAGTGAGACAGGTACAGTGAGACAGGTACAATGTGACAGGTACAGTGAGACAGGTACAGTGAGACAGGTACAATGTGACAGGTACAGTGAGACAGGTACAGTGGGACAGGTACAGTGAGACAGGTACAGTGAGACAGGTACAGTGAGACAGGTACAGTGAGACAGGTACAGTGAGACAGGTACAGTGAGACAGGTACAGGGAGACAGGTAGGTACAGGTAATTTTTGTGGTCTTCCAACACTGAATCTGATTGGTTGAAGGTGTTTACTGACCCCGGACAGTTCTGTCAGAGTTGAGTTCATCTCCTGATAACATCCTGATGCAGCACTGTGGATATCATTGTAATACCTGCACACAGGTAGCAACAATACGTACACAAACACACCATTACTGAGTTTACACACAAACATCATGTAAATCTGGACCAGAACCAGACCCTAACTGTATCTGCAGCAGCTGTCTCACCTCTCCACCAGCTGTTTGTATCGTGGAATCTCTCTGGCATACAGCAGCTTGTTGACAGGAGAGTCCTGATTGGACAGAAAACAATGAAGTCACATGACCAAAGGTTTACACACACAGACAGATGGACGGATGGACAGATGGTTGGACGGACACACAGACAGACGGACAGACAGGACGTACCCTTCCAACTTTGTGTTCTGAGGTGGTACAGGAGTCGATGAAGGTCTGAGCAATGACCGATAGGACAGCATCAATGCTGTCAGTAACCTGGACGTCCAGAACAAACTGAGGATTCTTCAGGATGTTGACCCAGAACCTGAGAGGAAGACTGGAGCAAAACCAGCAGGTCAGAGACAGACGGGTCAGAAACCAGCAAGTTCCAAGCTTTAAACAGTTTGAGCTGTGTTATGGTGCGTTCACTCCAAACATGATGGAGCCAACATCAGGAGCAGCAGGTTTACATACAAAGTCTATGGTGGACGCGCTTCAATCAGCGTCAGGAAGTGCTGCTGCGCCTCAAGCGTGATTAGAGCAGCGTGATTTGAACTATTTGGACGATCTGAGCGTTCGACGTGCTGAGGCGCAAATCACTGAAGTTAGAAAATCTGAACTTTTGCAGCTCGACGCTCCGCGTCAACCAATCAGAGAGACTCCACTGTGTGACGTAGTGACATATTTCCAGCATCAACCAATCAGAGAGACTCCACTGTGTGACGTAGTGACATATTTCCATCATCAACCAATCAGAGAGACTCCACTGTGTGACGTAGTGACATATTTCCATCATCAACCAATCAGAGAGACTCCACTGTGTGACGTAATGACATATTTCCATCAGAACCAATCAGAGAGACTCCACTGTGTGACGTAGTGACATATTTCCATCAGAACCAATCAGAGAGACTCCACT